ACGTCCAGCTCTAGGACTAACTTTAAGTTCTCCCATGTGAATAACTTCAGCTAGATTTTAGAATAAAACAAATCTGACTCAAATGATTTTCTTTGTTTAAAGTAGGCTCCATGCGCCCCCTATGCGGTTCGAACTCATGACTCTGAGGTCAGGAGTCACCTGCTCCACACCTTAGCTGGCCAGGAGCCCCTCCTCTCGGGATTCTTAATCCTCATGATGCTGTAATAAATCTCATTCATTCTTCTTATTTTGGGTACTCTTCATTATCATCCTGCAAAATAGGCCTTATTATACCGATTATCGCCTGGCCCTGGCATGAGATCGGTGCCGTAAGTACACACACAAACATGTCCTCGGGGCTGCACCTGCTCCAAGCCGACACACCACGAGCACCAGGAGCGAGACCCAGAAACGGAAGAGAAGGAGCCCTAGCTGTGAGTGCACCTGGCCATTTTTCCTAAACAACCCCTTTTTTGCCCTGAGAGAATTTGTGTCTTCATACTTTCCATCTGACTTCCCAGCAATCAACCCAACTTGGTCTTTTTTAAGATTTTATTTATTTGAGAGAGAGAGAGCATGAGTGGGGGCAGAGGCACAGGGACATGTAGACTCCCACTGAGCGCAGACTCCACAGTGTGGGGACTCGATCCCAGGACCCCCAAGATCAGGTGTGAGCTGAGCCGAAGTCAGATGCCTCATCGACGGAGCCACTCAGGCGCTCTTGTCCTTAACATTTAACATTAAAACCAGATTGCCCTAAGCCGCCACTTATGGGTCGATAGAAATAAATAAAATTTTCCTGAAATGACAGGGTTCCTACACCTCTTTATCATCCTGCGAGCATTAATTTGTCAATAACCATTTCGGACTGCCTGACAACATAATCTTGCTGGAGGAGAGTCTGAGCTCTGGACTCCGAAACGTAGGCTCCCAGGTGACCCCACCGACACCGGCCCGGCAACTTTGGGCAAGTTATTTGACTTCTCTCTGCCTGTTACAGGGGCGCCTGGGGGGCTCCATCGGTGAACCATCTGCCTTCAGCTCAGGGCATGATCCCAGGGTCCTCTGATCAAGTCCCACATCAGGCTCCCTGCTCCTCGGGGAGCCTGCTTCTCCTGGTCGCTCTGCCTCTCCCCCTGCTTGTGCTCTCTGTGTCTCCCTCTCTCAAATAAAAAAAAAAATACCGTGAAGCTTAAAGTGGCAATGGAAGTTAAGTTGCCACATGATCACAGAATTTGAAAAAAAGAAAAGCTGCCCACAGATACAAGGAAATGTGATTAGAGACCATAAACATGGGGTGGTACCAGTCCACGCCCCAGCAAGATTCCCTCCAGTTGTCCCTGAGAACCTGGGCGTGGCCAGGCTCTCTAGAGGCTGCCAGAGGCCTGGACACTTCCTCTTTTTAAGCCCCCAGTATATTCAAACATGCTGGACTGCCAAGAGACGGGTTACGACAGACGCAGGCTGTGTCTCAAATGTTTACATTGAGCAAGCTAATACTTTTTTTTTTAAAGATTTTTTTAATTTATTTACATGACAGACAGATCACAAGTAGGCAGAGAGGCAGGCAGAGAGACAGGAGGGGAAGCAGGCTCCCCGCTGAGCAGAGAGCCCGATGTGGGGCTCGATCCCAGGACCCTGGGATCATGACCCGAGCCGAAGACAGAGGCTTAACCCACTGAGCCACCCAGGCTTCCCCAAACTAATACTTTTAACATGCAATGATTACCGTCTGATATAACTGCATCCACAGGTATACCTATAAATTCAAGCAGAATTTATATAAAATATTAATTCACAAAGCATTACAGGCTGCGTCATTTGGTAATGGGACAAGGTTTAGAGTCGTACAAAGAATGCGTTCTCGTAATCGTGTAGGTACACCTCTGGGATGATGGTATAACCTCACTTGCACACAAGGTCAAAGCTTTGATTGACCCTGTTAATGAGTGTGAGGCCTGGCCTCTGGTAAGCGTCGGTATTGGACTGGAAAAGAGAGATGACCAGGTCACTGGGTTTAACAGATCCAGTTCCAGGAAACACACACGGCATGGAACAGAGGGCAGAGATGGTTAAGACAGGTTGAAGCCATGACTTATGATTTCTTTTCTTAAATATTTTATTTATTTGTGAGAGAGCGCGCCACGTTAGCAGGGGAGGGGCCGAGGCAAGGGGGACAGAGCAGAGCAGCACAAGAGCTCCGTCAGTGATCCTGAAATGATGACCTGAGCCGAAATCAAGGCAGATGCTTCACTTGCTGAGCCCCCAGGCACCCTGAGCTACGATTTCTCAGCTGAATCGGGAGAGAAGTGGAAACAAAAGGGAGTGACAGGCTGGTAGAAAGGAGATGAATGTCCTGTGAGGTGTGAGTAAGGAAACCAGGGAACCCAGTGGCTAGTAAGGGAGTGGTACCCAGAGACTCCTCTCCCAGTGGTGGCATTTCTGGGTGGGACAGTGCAGAGGGACACAGGAACCTGAGTCCCCGCTGCAGCGGGAAGTGCACGTCCCTGGAACATTAGCAATTTGAGAAGGTGAGGTGATCTGCACAGACGTGAAAGTCAGGGTCTTTTATGAAGGGGACTCCGGGTGCCTTAAGGTGGTAATTGCTTCAAAGGTATGGCTGAGGAGGAGAGGGGACGAGTCATCTTTATCCCTTACTAACCTGTGACTGAAATTTTATAGATAAGAAGTTGTAAATTACAAAATCTTGGGTGGTGCTGCAGAGGTCCTTATAGGACGTAAAGTCAGTCCAGTCTTTCAACCCAGTTATCAAAGTAATTTTGTTCTCCACGTAATGGCAGGTGTAACCATATTGAACAAAGCAGCGCCGGCTGTGCCCTACGCCCTTGGATTATAGTGTTCCCAGCAGTAAGTGCTCTAGCTGAGGGACGGTTTCTATGCAAGACCTAGGTTTTCTAGCACTTTCGTTCTTAAAAAAAATTTTTTTTTTCCCAGTTGAAGTTTCTAATGCACAGTTTCTGCCCACAGGCTTTGTGTGGACTGACTATTGGAAGTGAGAGGGACTACCGGTAGGATCCCCTGGGGGGTTTCTGCAGAGAGACAATGTCACAATGTGCAGTCTGTGAACATGGGACGACAGCTACTGATGTCCACGCAGAACTCACCGCATGCCCCAAAACTGGGCTAAGGGCATACTTTTCATCCAACAACTCATTTCAGGCCCTAACACATGAAGCAGGTGTCATTACCCTGACCCCAATATTAAAGAAACTAGAGAACAGCAAATCAGTTATGCGTCAAATGTCTCACAAATACCAAATGGTCAAACTGGGATCTGAACCCACATCTCAACTCTGGACTCTACAAGTTTGTGCTTAAACAGCCCTGCCATCCTGGGCTGGGGCTGTGGAGAAGTCTGAGATTCAGACAGGGGCTCACTAAACCGCAGAGCCTTCACCAGGAAAGCAAGTTCTAGAGCAGCTGGCTAGAGTCTTTTTTTTTTTTAAGATTTTATTTGACAGAGATCACAAGCAGGCAGAGAGGCAGGCAGAGAGAGAGGAAGGGAAGCAGGCTCCGCTGAGCAGAGAGCCCGATGTGGGACTCGATCCCAGGACCCTGAGATCATGACCTGAGCCCAAGGCAGAGGCTTAACCCACTGAGCCACCCAGGTGCCCCAGTTGGCTAGAATCTTGCCTACAATCTCCAGATTTCTGGAGCCTCTCTCCTCTAGGCCGTGCGCTGCACACAGAGGGACCCAGATCCCTGTTCAGAATTCTCCTGGGCATGTCCCGGCTGGAAGGAGAGATTATCTTTCTGCTCAGGAGACCTTCAGTTGCTCAATCCTCTTTACACATCTGCTTCACTAGCATTACAGACAAAATCATTAAAAAGCTAGATTTCTAGAGCATGGCTAACCCCGGAGCTTCAAAGAGTGCTGTTGCACAACCCGCGACTACCCTGAGCTCGCTCAACTGCTCAAGGGCCGAGCCGGATGGTCTGTGAATTACGTCTCAGTAAAGCCGCTTTTAAAAAAAGATCAGAAGGAATGAACTTGTATGAATTTATAAGAAAATTCGCAGGGGAGCAAGGGTGGCTCAGTGTAAAGCCCTCTGCCTTTGGCCCAGGTCATGATCCCGGGGGACCGAGCCTCGCGTGGGGCCTCCGCCCCTGCTCCCCCTCGCTCGCGCTCCCAAACAAACAAAATCTTGAGGCATCAAAGATAATAAAATCAAACGTCCACGGCCGCTGCGCGGACAGGGGCCTCCTTGCAGGTGGGACAGGGACCCCGCGCAGGCGCTCGCAGGCCCCCAGCCCCGCCCGGGGTCAGGCGAGCGGAGGAGCAGGACAGGAGCAGGACTGCAGCAGGTCCGCAGAGCCGCCCTTCCGCCGCCGAGGGGTCGGGACCGGGCCGCGGGCTCCGGGGCCCGCGGGAGAAAGTTTTCCCTTTCCCGGCGGCCCGGCGCTGGCTTGCTGTGGGCGGGGCGGGCGCTGCTGGGGGGGGGGGGGGGGGGGGGGGGCACCGCACCGCCCCCTCCCCCGCCCGGCCCGCCGCGCCGCACCTGGGCGCCGCCCGGCTGCCCCGCCTCCCCGGGGGGCCGCGCGCGCGGGCGGCCGGGTCACGTGCGGCGGCGGCGGGCCGGGCGGGGCGGCGGCGAGAGCGCAGGAATGCGGCGGCCCGCGGGGGAGCGTCTCTGCGCGCGCCGGCGGCGGACCCGGGGCGGGCGGGCGCGCAGAGGAAGGAAGGGCCGCGAGGAGGCGGGGCCGGCGCGCCGCTCGGGCGGGCGCTTCTCTCAACTTTAGTTTTGGCGTCGGCGGCGAGTTTCTGCCTCAGTCGGGCGCAGCCGCCGCCGCGGGAAAGAAAGGGAGGAAGGAAGGGGCCCCCGGAGGAAGCCGGGCAGCGGGGGAGGGGAGGCCCCGCGTCCGTCGGGGGAGCGCAGCGGCCGGGGGACAGCGCCGGGGGCCGCGGGGCGCGGGCGGGCCTGCGGCGCAGCCTCCCCCCCGGCCGCGACCCCGACCCCGACCCCGTCGCCCGCGTCGCCGGGCAGCATGGATCCCGGGCCGCCGCCTCAGCCGCCGCAGCCCCCGCCGGCCGCCGCGCAGGGCCAGGGGCCGCCGGCCGCGCAGCCCCCCTCGAGCCAGGGGCCCTCGGCGGCGGCCGGGCCGCCCGCGCCCCCGGGGTCGCAGGCGGCGCCGCAGGCCCCCCCGGCCGGCCACCAGATCGTGCACGTCCGGGGGGACTCGGAGACCGACCTGGAGGCGCTCTTCAACGCCGTCATGAACCCCAAGACGGCCAACGTGCCCCAGACGGTGCCCATGCGGCTGCGGAAGCTGCCCGACTCCTTCTTCAAGCCGCCGGAGCCCAAGTCGCACTCCCGCCAGGTAGCCGCCCCGCCGGACGGGCCCGGGCCGCGGGGGTGCGCGGCGGGGTGGGCGGCGGGAGGCGCCTCCCGAGTCCCGGGCCGAGATTTGTTTTCCCTCAGAGTCGCTCGGCGCGGCCGCGGCCCGGGGGGCGTGCTTTCCCCGCTCCCTTTCTTCCTTTCTTTCTTCCTGGGGCTCCCGGGAGGTTGGCGGGAGACGCGGGGGAGGGGGAGGAAGGAAGGCGGGGGGGGGGCCGGGTGGGCTCGCACAATGTGCGCGCGTCCGCGCCCCGCACCTCGGCCGCCGCCGGGACGGGGGGGGGGGGGGGGGGGGCGGGGGGGGGGGGGGGCGCGGGAACAAGGGGGAGGGGGGAGGGAGGGAAGGGAGCCGTGGGGGAGGGGAGGAGAGCGGGGGGCCGGTGGAGGGGCCGCTGGCCTCCGCAAGGGGTGAGTGGCCCGCGGCGGCCGAGCTGCTGGCGGGGAACCCTGGGCCCCCTTTCCTGCGGGGCCTGTGCGGCCGCGCGAGTGTCCTGGGGAGTCAGATAATTGTTCTCTTGTTCAGCAGGGTTGACCAGGGTGGGGGTTGGAGCGGTGCGTGGACTTTCTGGCTCTTTCTCCGCTCTCGAGAGCGCCCGGCGCCTTCTGCGGGCGGCGTCCAGGCTTTCCTGGAAGGCGCTGCGGGGTCAGCGCCCGCGCCGGAGGAAGGGGGTGTCCGTGCGGGGACTCAGGGGGCGCCCTTGGGGAGGGAATTCGGGGGACCGGCTCCCGGGGAGGCATTGGGAAGTCTGGGGCCCCTGCGGGGACTCGGGGGACCGGTTCCGGGGGGGGAACACTGAGGACGGCTGGCCCCCGGTGGGGGATTGAGGGGGCCTGGGGGGTTGGGGCCCCTCCGGGGACTCGGGGGACCGGCTCCCGGGGAGGGGGGAACACTGGGGACGGCCGGCTGCCGGGGGGGACTGAGGGGGGACTCGGGGGTCTGGGGCCCCTGCGGGGACTCGGGTTGGTTTCATGGGGGGACTCGAGGAGCGCCTCCTGGGGGAGCGCGTTCGCCACGCGGGGGAGCGGGACCTCGCGGGGCCGTGGGGCCGGGGGCCGGGGCTGCGTGGCGCCGCCGCGACCCCGCGCGCTGCTGGGGAAGCGATGACTAATCGGCGGCTCGCCCTGGCTCTGGAGTCCGCCCCGGGGACGGAGCGCGGCGTTGGCGCAGGGCGCCCGCTCCACGGCCGGTGCGATCCGGCTCCGGGGAGAGACTGTCGGGAACGGGTTCGCACTCCCAGCGCTCCCCCACATCTGTTTGCTTAGGCCTGCCTTGCTGCTGCTTTTTCTTTTTGGAAAGAACTTGCTTCAGGCTAAACTTGAGCATAGGAACTTTGCCCAAAAGTTAATTGGTTTTCCAAATACTGCGATGCAGTTGGTCCAGTCGGGCTGTAACTTGAGTGGAAAGAAGAGTGAGCGCCCCCATTCCGCTTCCCCTTCCGCTCCTGCTTGCCAGGCCTGTTGTGCGCCCTCCTGCCGCAGACCCAGGGCTTTGGGAACCTGCTGGCGAAGGCCGGTTTGGGGAGCAGGAAGGAGAAACCTGGGAGCTGCCGGCCTGCGCACTGCAGCTTGGCCAGGGGCGGGGGGAGGGGGCTTTTCCTTCTCCCAGGCCTGGAGGTGGGTCCCTGGAGTCATTCCGGGGAAACGTGTGCTGGTGTTGCCCGTTATGGACGACACAGTCGGGTGCGCGCTCCTCGGTAGGGTTTGAAAGCAGAAGACTCGTAGGAGAGTGAGTTTCTCATTTTGTGGCATCCGTAAGCCATAAAGACCCGCAACTGAAACGTTGCAAAATTCTAGTAAATAATCACGAGAATTATGTCCAGCAGCTTATGGATTCATACTCTATTCATAATCTCTAGTTTTGTTTTTAATAAGTTTCTGAAGGAGGGGTTGTGCCTCTGTAAGTTTGATTTTTAGTTCTGCTAGTGATGTCCTAATTCGGGTTTATTCTGATTGGAAACTCAGCAGTGGGGCTGACTTTAAGGCATAAAATACCTCTGCTGATTGCTTCTGGTCTCTAAGGAAATTCTTACTTTAATAATCAAACCCTAATTCTAATGAGGAATTTAGATGGCTGTGCTGGATTGTGAATGGTGTGAATGTGGGTTATAAATACTACTGTCCACAGACGGTTGGCTTAGGTGCGTTCGTGTGTATGTATGTACATATGTACACATGCGCACACGTACGAGAGAAACTCTCACACATGACGGAACTGAGGCTCTCAGAGGTTGGTATCTGTTCACTGTCACAGTAGCCTGTGCGGACTGGAACTCCCATCTTTGGGGTCTGGATGCAAACTTTTTTCTGCCCTTCCACCATTGTAGTTACATGTGTATATTTTTGTTGCGTTGAACTGTTTTCATTTTTTTCATCTGCATAGGAATACATGGTTGGGATTTCATTAGATGTCTTAAGAGCATTTGAATGATACTGAATCTCTTGCTTTCATTAAAAATCACATAGTTTGGCATTGGCCCTGCCGTTGGTCCATGGTGAGAAAAAAATAGCTGTTGTCCAGTGTTTAGGGTTTGGCCTGGAAAGAAACATTAACTACTTAAAAGCTAGCTGAACAAGAAAAGAGAAAGGGTATAGTTACCGTATTCCTTAGGTTGTGTTATACATGGGACATTTCAGAACTCAGAATAGCACCCATACTACCCAGGTCTTTTTAGAAATTAAGTTTTAGGGGCACCTGGCAGGGCTCATTCGGTTGGTTAACCATCTGCCTTCAGCTCAGGTCATGATCTCTGAGTCCCTGGATCTAGCCCCAAGTGGAGCTCCTTGATAGCTGGGAGCCTGCTTCTTCCTCTGCCCCTCCTCCCACCCCTGCTCATGCGCTCTCTCTCAAATAAAGTCTGTTTAAAAAAAAAAAAAATTAAGTTTTAGGGCAGCTGGGTGGCTCAGTCTTTAAGCATCTGCCTTCTGCCTTCAGCTCAGGTCATGATCCCAGGGTCCTAGGCTGCGTCCCCATGTCAGGGTCCCTGCTCAGCAGGAGGCCTGCTTCTCCCTCTCCCTCTGCTGCTCCCCTATTTCTGTTCCCTGTCTTTTGCTATCTCTCTGTCAAATAAATAAGATTTTTTCAAAAAACATTACATTTTAAAATCCAACTGTAGAAATGTTCCATTCATTTTGTTCTATTTTCCTTTAAAATATACAGAAGGCACATCTAATGTGTGCTACGTAGAGCTTAATTTACATGGACTGCTAATCTGTAAAGTTATAAATGTGCGAGTACACTTTAAAATCACACAAACCATTCAAAAATACACACCTATAAACCTATATTCCTTTGTGTCAAACTTTAATTTTTGCATTTGGTACTTAGACATTTGGTTGCCATGAAATCCTGTCAAAGATTAAAGAGACCCTCTTTAAAAATAATTTCTAAGAAATTTTTATCTTATTCTTCCCAATAGGCCAGTACTGATGGGGGCACCGGAGGAGCCCTGACCCCGCAGCATGTTCGAGCTCATTCCTCACCTGCTTCCCTGCAGCTGGGCGCTGCATCCCCAGGGAGCCTAACACCCACCGGGGTGGTCTCAGGCCCAGCAGCGACCCCCACCGCTCAGCACCTTCGACAGTCTTCTTTTGAGATCCCTGATGATGTCCCTCTGCCGGCGGGCTGGGAGATGGCAAAGACGTCCTCTGGTCAGAGATACTTCTTAAAGTGAGTGAACATTGTGGAAAGCTTAAGAAGGTGGTATCAGGATTTAAAAGTCATTTGTTTGTATGTTTTACTTTATGTCAAACTTAGTTTTATCTTAATATAGAGATCCATGATATGTACATATGTATACACATGCACACATAATTTTTTTTTTCATTTAACATGTAATAATTACTTGCTTCAGCTTGGGTTATATCTTAAAAGCTTGATTGATTCTTGGTTCAGAGCCTTTTAATAACCTTTTCTTTTGTGGCAATTTGAATATTCTCATTTTGACTTTGTTCCAAATCTATTAATTAGCTTAGCTTAAAACTGAAAGAATACTATGAAACGTTTCAAATTGTGGGAATTACAGGCTGACATCTCTTTAAATGAACATTTTATTGGCAGAGAAGAACTACAAAATAAGTAGGTCTTCTTTGGGAGTCAGATTTTACAATAGTTGAGGTTGTCAAATGACACATCCTTTAGCCGACGTCTGATGTGATCAATCCCCCCCCCACAATGTAAAGAGAACCAGGAGTTTTCATGTTTATACAGTCGCTCCAGGGCAAACTTCTTTCAAGCTAGCAGGTCCTCAAGACAGAATCCTCTTCTGGGAAAACAAAAACAAGGCCATTGTGGTATTTATTTTTATGAGACTTCTTGTCTTTAACAAAATGGCAAAATTTCATTCAGGCTGAAAAGATCAAAGTTTTTATCCTTTCTTACTTTGAATTTGTAGGTAATACCTAAGTATTTTTATCTGGCTTTTTGGATTTAAGTGTATAAAAAACTTCTTCTTTAATTATAGACTGAAACTGATATTTTTTAAAAGTTGCTTGCTTCTTCTTGTTTAATCAAGTAGAGATACTAAAAAGTTAAAACCAATCCAAGTTTTGATTGAGATTGGTCTTGACAAGTGGACTTGTCCAGCAAATGTAACATCTGTCTCTTAGATCAGATAATACAATTAGTGATCTGTTTCGGTGTGTGAGTCTTAGTAAGTATAGTGCTTGTCTTCCCGGGCAGTGGTGTGTAATGTAACATAGGGTTTTCAGAGAGGCTTGCTTAGAAGAGTGGAGAAAAAAAGTTTCATCTTCAAAAGTTTCTACCGTTTTTTGCCCCCCCTCTCCTGTAACATTTTTCTTCTTTTTAAAATTCGTTTTCTGGTGTCCTGGTATCCATTTCAAAGGGTCAGGTTTCAGCCAGGACAGTAAAGGGCCTGAGACTGGAAAGTCCACACAAGTCTGGCAAACTCATCTGCATGAGCAAGATCTCTGTTCTTAAGCAGACGGCCAAAGTCCATGATTGAAAGAGCTGCTAGCTGTGAGGGATGTGCCTTGAAGGGACACACCAGGTCCTTGAAAGGAAGAAGAAAGGCTGTACTTTTTTGAGCCTCTCCCTGCTGGGCCAGTGCTGACCTGGGGAGGTTTTTCAAACAGCTTAATAGTGTGCTTGCCTCCTTTCTTTGACTGATGCTGTAGCTAAAAGTATGAGGTTCAAGAGCAGCGGTTATGTTCTTCTGCGTCTTTTGTATCTTGTAACAGTTGCTTACAGGTGACATCTGCCTACGTTTTCGTTATTTTGAGTGATCTTGTTATTTTGATCTGAAATAAATACTCTGTATGTCCATTTTAATGGACATACAGAGTATGTCCTCTGAGAAGGAATGAAGAAGTCCTTTCCTCTGAGAAGGAATGTGTCTCTTAATGATATTGATAAAGGGTAGATAAGGAAGGGTAGACACGTCTATACCACACCACCTAAACACCCAGTTGAATGGGTCTGTAGGGAAGGTAAACCAGGCCAAAATGATAGGGAGAGTTATGCCATGTGAAAAATGGTTGTAGGGGGTGCGGAGAAACTTAACTGGGAAAGAAAAAAGAGGAGAAAGAAAACATGATTGTTCTTAACAGATGAAAAGGAGAAAATTAAAAAAACCAAAACCAAAAAGCATGGCTGTTCTTTAGGATTTTGGGGGGACTTTCACATAGAAGTTAAATTGGGCTTATTATATGATAAGAAACACGAAGATTTGGGACTTCATGGACAAATTTTCTCATATCAGACCTTTCAGAAATACAAGGATTTTCCCTGAGGGATAGGTGGAACCATGGATTAGTTGGTGGTTGTGAGGAATTGTAGAGAGGGCCCCTAAATGTTGGTTTGTGGACGATGGCTACCGTGGGCTTATAAAATTTTGTATTCTTCTAAAGGGTATCTGCTTTATGAATCATACATAATTTGGGGAAGTTACAAAAAGTTTACATCCAGTTGTTAGCTATTTTTGTGATTTTTATTGGTTGTATCAGTTGCCATGATTGACTTATTTTTGTGTACTGCACAGGTAAATGAGCTCATTGGTATCTGTCCTGACTATGAGTCAAAGATGATGGTAAATGAACCTTCTTTCGGAGCCAAATTCCTGTTGTCTGAGTTCATTTTTATCCTGGTTGTGATGTTTCCAAGTCAGGCTCTTTTGGGGAACAATATTTATATTTTTCTTGTGTCTGCAGAAGATTCTGTTGCCATCAAGATGTAGAGTGCAGGGGCACCTGGGTGGCTCAGTGGGTTAAGCCTTGCCTTCGGCTCAGGTCATGATCCCAGGGTGCTGGGATCGAGCCCCGCATCGGGCTCTCTGCTCAGCGGGGAGCCTGCTTCCTCCTCTCTCTCTGCCTGCCTCTCTGCCTACTTGTGATCTCTCTGTCCAATAAATAAATAAAATCTTAAAAAAAAAAAAAAGATGTAGAGTACAGATTTACACTAGTTACTTTCTGCTCTTTTAATAATGAAAAATTGTATTTTACTATAAATACTTTTTTATTTTTTTATTTTTATGTACATCTTTTTAGATAATCATTGGAACTAAAGTTTAAGTTACAAAGTATATAATTTTTTGAGGTTTATATTTGGCATGAAGAAATCTGTGAATGGTCCAAACATGTAAGGTGATGTAATTTGATTGAAAACATAGAAATGTTGACTTTGGAAACCAGTTGTTGCCTTGTGACTGTAGGTGGGTGACTTTCTGAAGCCCGTCGGCCCCTCTTCTAGTTTCAAAGCAGCATAACTACTGAAGGGTTATAGGCAGGTGATCATTGCTATTTTTGAAGCCCTCTGTAGCTCAGTGAGATCTGGAGAAAAGATGTTTCTTAGTCTGGCAAGTGGTAAGGTAGGAAACCACATTTATCACCAACACGTATTTGAGCTCTGGTTGGTTGTGAAGTATGTGAAAAATCCTGCATATTACGTGTAATATTTGTGCTCAAGAGTTTACTGTTTTAAAACTGACCTTGTCAACATTGTATATGGAGCTTCTGTTTTGAAAGAATTCTTCTCTGTATTACTCTGAGAATTACTGCCTTCTTCAGCTGTCTCACAGTTTTCCTGCAGGAAATGGTTCTTCAAGTAGGTGGTCAACAACTTCCTATTTCTTTATAAGCTGCTGAATGACTTCCTGAATTAGTATTCTATAATATTTCTGGTTACAAGGAGTGTTTTTTACTTCTCAGATTTTATTTTACTGAATCTGATACCTTGTAACGGTTAATGGTAATAGTTAACAAAGAACTTCTTGTACATAATGTACCATATAGAATTATAATATGGTTTAAGGAATCTCAGTGATCTTAAAAGTTTGTAAATTTGCATTGCCATAATCACGTTCTTCTAATTTTTAAAGATGATTTTGCTTCATTTCTGTTGTCATTCTCTGAATAACTGGCCACAGTGTTTTTAGTCCTTGAAGATTGAAGGTTTCTTGTGGCTGTGATTTGATTAAAAGTTATACTGAGTATCTTGATCCACATTTCAAAAAGGTATTTTTCCAGATATTTTCATCATTGCACAGCATGTAACTTGGGCTGTATTTCAACGGTAAATGAACTTGAATTGCAGATGTCATTGATCACTGTAATTGGTTGCTTCTTTTTTTGCTAGGTTATTTCAGAAGTGTGTGTTCCACTGCCCTAATTAAAGCTACCTCAGAAATGTATTGATTAAAGGAGAGGATTAAACCATTTCCTACTATAATTTGACGTGTGCTTCTCCTACCACTTGCCCAGGGGGAGACTGGAAACACAGCATATGTTACCATAATACAGATTGGATGTGTTAAAAAGGAATGTCTGCGGAGAGAATAAGGGTATCCTGTTTTCCGCTTTCTTGATACGACTAGGGGAACCCCAAGGACTTCCCTTAGAAATGGGAAGCTTGTCATACTGCCATCGAATGTTCAGGAAGCTGCAGAAAGACGACCGTTCGGGTTGCCATCGCAGTCTGCTGGCTGAGGGGGGGGCGGCGCGGGCCTGTGGGTCTTGCTGGGGAGGCGCAGTGGAGGGAGGGGCTGGTGACGCTTCGCCCGGCGCCCCCGAGGAGAGATGCTGGCCCTGCTCAGTGGGTGGGCGGCGAGGAAGAGGAGCCCCACGGCCCGGCACTGGTGAGGGCGGCTGAGGAAGACGGCCGGGAGGCAGCGGATGTGACGAGTGAACGGAACAGCGAGATGGATTTCTTTGCTGAGGAGAATCCCGAGCGGCTCGCGCGGAGCTGAGGAAGGGAGCGGACGGGCGGGCGGCGGGACGCGGCGCTGGCGGCTGCCGGGCGGTGGCTCGTTTTCTCTGAAGAACACCCTTCCGCAGAGCCTCCCGGTAACCGGGACGAGGACACTGGGGAGCCTGTGGGTGGCCGGAACTTGAGCAGACGCGCGCGGACCGCGGGAGAGGAGCGCGTGGTGCGGCGCCGGGCGTTGCCGGGCGGCTAGGCGGAGGACGCGCATGGCCGCCGCAGCGGTGTGGCGGCTCGGCCCGCGGGCGCCGTGAGCCCTTAGGACCTGGCGGGCGGCGGGCGCAGGGCGTCGCTCGGCGTCCGCGGTGAGCCTCAGGGTTTGCCTCGCTCACCGCCTCGGGGCGCGGGCCGGGGGTTGGACTTGCAGGTTGGGAACAGGTGAGGAGCGCGGCTGCGGGGAGGCCTCGCGCGGCGCGCGCTTCCCCGGGCCGGACGGCGGGCGCCGGCGGGGCGGG